ATATTAATTTTAAAATTTTATACCCAATAACTTACTAATTTTAATTTTTAATTTTATTTTTTAATTGTTAATTTTGGTTATTTAAATTTTAAAATTAAACCAAAAACTAAAAACCATGATACTAAATGAAACTTTAAATTTTGAGTTTTAGCTTTTAATCTTTAGTTTTATATATTTTGTAACTAATATTATATCTAAATAAATTAATATTTATTAGTCAAATTTACAAAAAAATTAAATAGAAAGATACATCTAAACTAAATCATTTTAATAAAATATTATGAGAAAATTCTAAAATTCTGTCTGTTTTGTTTTAAAAAGTATGTTATATTAGTATTTTTTAATAAAAATTTATTAAAATAATATAGTTTTAAGATATTTTTTATTTAATTTTTTACAAATTTAACTGATAAATATTTTTTGGATATTTAAATAAAATTTAATAAAATTCAATTTTTACAATAAATATTGATTTCTATACTAATTTTTTTTATCATAAATACCAATTTTGCAACGTTTGTGTCTTTTGATTCTATCGGCAATAGTTGTGGCTACAATTAATTTTATTAGGCTATTAAAATTGTTAAATTTTTATTTTAATTTAATTGTTAAAAATGATTAATAACTAATTAAAAAAATTAATATTTATTATAAATAAATTAATTTTAATTAATGTTTTATACTATAATTTAGTGGGACTATTGATGTATTAAAATCTTTTCAAAAAATTATCATACAATAATATAGTTTTATGACAGTAGAATCTTTGAAAAGAAACGGCCTTGGCAGAATCCCAAACATTGTCATCTTCATTTGTGAGTATTATAATAAGATGTAATGGTAGATATTTTTTTTTTGTTTTTTAATATCTCAACCATATATAAATATTAATTAAAATTAACAAAAATGTATAAACATTATATAACTAAGACTAACTAAAAATAATATGAAATTAATGTTTATTAACCATATCTTTAAAAAATTAATAGTTTGATTTTTGCTTTAAAAATGTATTATTTTTGTCTTTTTTAAATAAAAATTTAATGAAAACATAGTTTTTTATTTTTTTTCTTAATTTTTTGAAAATTTAGTTAATAAATATTTTTTTAAATAATAAATTTATATTTTTAAGTAATTAAATGTTTAACAAATTGTAAAATTTACATGCAACATTTTAAAGCAAGGCCTAAATCCAGGAAAAAACAAAAATTCACATGAAGAACTTAAAAAAAGGGGAAAGTTTGAAACTGACTACCGATCCACCGTACCTACAAGCACGTGGCTTTGCATCGCACATTACGCGCGTTGTCCAGCTATATTTTAATTCCAACAAAAATTTACAAGTACTAATATTGTAAAAAGAAAAAAAATCTAAAAATTAATCTATAAAACCTTGCTCTCAACGTAGAGATATTTTACTTATACAAGGTTAATTAGTATTAGAAAGATAAAAATCGAATTTTATTTAATTAATTTGTCAATTCATACGATGCACATGATAATTATTTTAAAATTAACGTTAATTTTTATATTTTTTAATGTCAATTAATAATATAAAATATAATAATTACACTTTTACAAATTAAAAAATAAAAAATATTTTATAGAATAAATTATACATTTAAAATGTGATTTACATTATAATTTTATTAAAATATTTTAATAAATTTATAAAATAAATAAAAAAATTTTTTTTGATCAATTTGTAATTATTTACAAGCTAATTGGGGGAGGGGGAAAAGGGGTTCCGTGGGGCTCGAACGTGCAACCCACGAAGGTGAACAGCCTCTAACCCAGGGCCAAGACTACCGGGCCGGAGTGGGCCATTCATTAAAATTTTAATATATAGTTAAAACCATATTAAATAAATCTTTGAAAAAACCTTTAAAAAAATTGTAAAAACAGGAGTCAAAGCCTATCTTACATCCATTGTTGGTCATCATTTTCTCAAAAAAAAAAAAAAAA